CCGCATTTGATTTAATTACGATGTGTCTGAGCCTTTGTCTATGATCTTCGGGGCTTAATTTATGTAGTGAGATTCCGTTCAAAGATTCGCCCTCGAATTCCTGTATAAATCTTATGCGAATTCGATCGAATCAAGAAAATGTATATATTCTTCTTTTTTTGGTGGCTTTTATCGCATAATATTTTAAAAACACAATGAGAAGTTTAAAAAATATCTAATACATTTTGCAAAGCGATGTGGCAACGTTATATTTTAGAATAACTACTATCACAATGACAGTGTTAGTCTTCCTATATAGAGTGAGCAATGTTAGCCCCCCCTAGTTCAAATAAAAAAACCGATAGACATTGAAGATATTGACCAATGGTAGCGATCTTTGTAACTATATACATGGACTAGCTTCTAAAATGTCATTGGCATGTGGGAATTTCGTTTCGGTATACCAAATCTGTCTATTACCGCATTTAAACTAATATCATTAGCCCTTTATGAATTCCCATTGCTCTGGGACACAATGTATAGTTACAGTAACTTTGCAATCCAGTCCGTCTCTGTATCGAGGGTCGTGATATCCGATGTCTACTGATAAGATTGCTCATTATTAAGCGAAAAACAGATCGAGAAACATACCAAATGGTATTTTTAGCACCGAACAGATTGAAAATAGAAAATAAACTTGAATTAGGCTATTTTGCTAACTGGATCGGACGGTTAAATAAGTTACAAGGTTTTTGTGCATCGGAAATCCCAATAAATGCGGTTTTTGTAGCAGGAAATAAATCAACTGTCTCATATCGGGGACGTATTAGTAGAGGAGATACTTCGAAATTCTGTAGAGGCATCGATTGACGTCTGAACACTCGTTTTTTTTGTACGAGATTTATACAAGTGTACTATAACATTGTCCTGTATGGAGGAGAAGGACAGAATATGTTCACCCGGATATTTTTCATCGAGGTGGTAGAAGTTCAGCAAATGATCACTGGGACAACCCACCATCCCCACCTTATAGATACAAAGAAATACAACAAACATTTTTGAAGACTGCTTGACGCGTGTTTCTTAATTTTGCAATGTTTGCTAAGATTTTGATGCAAACGGAGATTTCATACCTACAGGTAGATATACAAGAATATATAGTAATTTTGGCTTATTTTTCTATCAAAGCACTTTCAACCTCTAACATTATAGTCAGTTTTCTCAATCATAAAAGTGGCCCTAGAGAAGAAAAATTATTTTTCCTCCGAAAATAATGGAGGAAATGAAAATGTTTGAAGGCGGTGTTAGTTAAAATTTTTTTCACAAAAATTAACTATTAACCTTTGGCCACTGAACTAAAATAAATTTAAATGTAGATGAGTTAAGGGGGGATTGAAACTTAAAAAAAAACAAATCAAAACGAAAACTAATACCAACTTAAAATTAAAATCTAATTAAAAATGGAGGGGTTAAGGGGGGTTGAAACTTTAAAAAATCATAAAACAATATTAACTTGAAATTTTCAGGAAAAATCAAGCTTTACAATGGGACGAATCTCATTAATTAAAAAAAATCTAATCAAAAATAGGAGGGTTAAGGGGAGTTGAAATTTAAAAAAAATCATAAATCAACAACGAAAAGCGATACCAACATGATATTTTTATTAAAAATTAAGCACTATAGGAGACAAAGCTTATTGATTTTGACAAATCTTATTAAAAATGGAGGGGTTAAGGGGGGGGGGGGGGTTGAAACTTAATAAAAATCATGAAACAAAAACAAAAAACAATATCAACTTGAAATTTTCAGGAAAAATCAAACTCTACAATGGGATGTAGCATTGAGTTATAAAAAAATTGATTAAAAATAAAAAAAAAAAAAAATATAAATTAAAAACGAAAAAAACAACAATTTAAAATTTTTAGGAAAAATCAAGTTATATAAGGGTACGAAGCCTATTGATTTTAAAAAATATCGGATTAAAAATAGAGGAGTTAAGGATGGTTAAAATTAAAAAAAAATCATAAATCATTAACGAAAAGCGATATCAACACAAAATTTGTAGTAAAAATCAAGTTTTATAGGTAGATAAAGCTTCTTGATTTTGAAAAAATCTGAATAAAAATGGGTGGGTTAAGGGAGGTTGAAATATTTGAAAAAATTCTAACATAACTTAGGAGTCATCAACCTATTTACCCTATAATAAAAAAACATAGAAAGCTTTTTTAAACGCTTTTTTTATTACCATAAATGATTGTGCTTATGGCTACTCAATGTATTTAACTAAGAAAATTATAAAACAATTAGGCTTTTTAATGAGATTCCATAGTGGCTTCCATATTAAAATAAAATCCTAACTCACAAACAAAAAAACGATATCAACGTGAATTCTTCCGTAAAAATAAAGCTTTTATTAGAGGGAAAAAAGTCTATTGCTTCTAAAAAAATCTCATTAAAAATGAGGGGTTAAAAGCAGGTTTGTTTAACTGTGAAGAGTATCATATAGAATGTCAAGCATTATATATCTTCATTCTAGTTTTACTCTAAAATTTCTTCGAAAATTCATTATGATTCTTTGCTTTGTATTAGATAATAAACTGATTATATTGAATTATGAACACTGTCGTGCAAGCCATTTTCGACCAGTCCGGTAATACTCTAATTCCTTAAGTCCCTCTTTGTTTTATTTCGGTTAGTCCTTGTCCGACTACCAAAAATATTCAATTAAATAAGTCAACCCCCGCACCCCAACTTAATGTTCCAACGATGGAAAATAGGACGACTATGGACAACGCCGATCAACAGTCTAGAACACAGTAGAATGTTCGATGATACCAATTTGCAACTCTTGGCGAAGGTGCATAATGTAATATATAGGGTGGGTAAACTACAAAATATGTTAAAAATGTAGAAATTCCAGTGGAAAATAATAAATATGTTGAGTATGAAAAGGTATATATATATTTTCTGACTTTTGCAAAATTATCTGACACGTTGAGTACTTGATTTTCCTTATTTTTTATTTCATTAGTAACTAAGTACTGACTACCTTAATCGGTACTAATTAACATTTTGTTCAATACTTTAACAAAAAATTCCTTTAATACAATTATATAACTCAGTGGCGGCTATAATTTAAAATTAGTTTCATATATACAGGATGTACCAAACCAAAATTAAATATAAAGCATATTTTTTTAAGTATTTGCTTTTAATTTAACTCTTAAACATAATCTTAGTTTAATAAAGATTCCCAATACCTATTACAGTAAAATGATTTATTTAATTACTGCATTAATTTAAATGGCACACCCTGTATTTTATAGTACCAATATAAAGGAAATGTTATTTTGTATAAAAGTTCTATAAGGATCCCTATACCCACGTCTACTATTTTTAGACCTATTATCAATAGTTTCTATGTATCAATAAATTTCAATCGTTTACTAATAATTTCATATTAAAACATACATTTATTTATACAGAAATTTTCTAATAAATTAAAAATTTATAAATATTGTTACCTAATTAATAACATTATGATAGGAAAACGGTATCCAGTTAGATTCATTTTGCAACAAAGTGAATGTTTTAAAATGTAGTATTAAATTTTCACAAGAAAAAAACATTTAAAATAGCGAAATTATAAAATTATAAAAACTTTTTTGGAATAAAACTGTCCTTATTTAACATTATAAATTAGAAAATATATCTTAATTTTACTTTATACACACGTAAATTATTGAAATAGACTTTACACAATGAAAATCGATCAAAATCTTTTTCCTTGAAATGTCTTGATTGGTCGGTTACCAATAATGTCTATGTAAAAACGGTATTCATTTAGTCTGTTTTTACGAATTCTTTGGAAATTTGTAAATAATGTTTAGATACCCATATTTTTCTTCAATAAGACTCTGTTCATTAACTTATCATATGTTATCCCCATTATTACACCGACCCTGTGATAATCTCTAAGCTTAGTCTTAAATAGATGAGTAATACGGGTGAGTTCTTGATATTTGACAACTTTCATAATTTTTAAACCCACTTTATTAGTTATGAGCTCATTCGTTTTTACCTCTCTATTTTAGACCATACCTGATGATGAGGATCTGATCTCCTCGAAACCGGTCGTATTAAATTACTCTTGTGAGATCTTAAGGACCACCCTTGTTTTATTTACCTCTTATTGATGATATGTTTACAAATAGTAGGTATGGGTATAGATAACCTTATAGAACTTTTAAAGTTAATAAAATTTCCTTCATATTGGTACCATAAACTTCAGGACGTTCCATTTAATTTAACTTGAAATTGCAAACACCCCGTACATTTTTGAATGCCAAAAATTCGTTAATTAATTATTTTGTAATCAAGAGTAATTAATTAATTAAGACAGCATTACATTTTTAAAAACTGTCAAATAAATCGGAAATTATCAAAGATAATATTATTTTTAAAATCAAAAGAAAATATAAGGTGTCCCATTTGCAAAATATAACTTTATATTGGTATTCTGGTGTGGGGCAACTTGTATACATGAAACTAATTTTAATTTGTAGCCTCCATTGAGTTGTATATTTGTGCCAAAGGAATTTTTAATATCGTTTGTAGTTTACCCACCAGGCTCCGTCCCGTTGAGCGTTAAGCACCTTGTATATATTCGAAGAATTTGGTGGAAACGTCGAGAACCTTTACCTTTCTATATAAATGAGCTGTATTGCTGTGGAAGAGTCAGTGTGTAGACAAAGTTTGCTGTATAAAGATCAATTGTTTAAAATATAGAAAAATTTAAGATAAATTACTGTTAAGTTGTAAATAAATTATTGAATATAAGTGAACAAATAAATCAGTGTTTTAAATAAATAAACGTTGCAATACAATGACTGATTAAAATTTTAATGGAAAAAAGTTTTGAACCTGTAAAAAATTACCTTAATCAACTTTATTATTAACTGTCATAATTACTTCGCCACCTCGTATATTTTGTTCTAATTAGGACAGATTTTAGAAAAACACTAAGATTTTTTAAATTTTTTGATACGTATTAAAGTTCGACTCACCTCTTGCGTAAAATCCGTCTCTAACAACGTCGTCAACTGCTCGGAGGCCTTATGTATGGCCTGGTAAGCGGACGTCGTCAACACTAACAGCTCGTGCCACTTATGCGTCAGCAGTCGCGTATGCACTTCGACCGGCAATTCTAAATAGAACGGTAACCGTTTAGTCCACTGCACCAACTTATAAACGATAGAGTCACCGATATTGCACAACTTTTCACTTAGGTCAGTGTTGTGGTCCAACAGTTCGTCTAAGTTCTGTAAGGTCGCTATGTCTTGGAACTCATCACAGTCTATCAAGGTCTTTATCATAGATAAAGAGTACTCCACGGAGAAGTTCCTGTCCCGGGAGCTGCTCACGGCGCTGTCCAATCTATAAAAACTGGTCAAGTCAGATTCAAATAATGAAATTCTTAAAAATAAAAATGTTTATTAGAACTTTAACGCTTACATTGCTTACAAAACCAGATATCTTACCTCTGTCGAAGGCGTATGACTTCGCTGGGATTGGTCAAAGCAGTTTTCAGAATAGTTCCATTGACTAGGTTGGAGGGAATACTGGGAGGCTGCTCTTGCTTGAATTGTTGCCCGATCATGGTTTTATCTAGGGGTTTATTTTGCTGTTTAGTAGACGGTTTCTTGTGTTTTTTGTATTTCACTTTGTAAAGATTGTATACCGCGCCGCTATTCCTGCCGCCCGGCATCCTATCCTCTCTGACAGCTATAAAACATATGGACGATATTAAAAATAACTGAAAGGTTAAGAAACGGTGATTCTTACCTTGTAATACCATTCCTTGCTCTATACATTTCTTGAACCTACAGTACTGACACCGATTCCTCTGCGTCTTCGTAATTTCACAATTCCCGTCAGCCACACAAGTATACACCCTCCTGTTTTGTACAGTCCGCTTAAAAAACCCTTTACACCCTTCACAAGTGATAATCCCGTAGTGCAAGCCGGTTGCCTTGTCCTCACAGATCATACAGATCATGGGCTGTTCCTCCTCCTCTTGAGGCTCGTGATGCTCGCTTTGCTGGTCCCCCACGACCTGCGGCTTGATATCGTTCTGGTCGTAGATCACGGGACCAGGTCCTGGGGGAGGGTAGGTTAAGTTGAGAGCTTGCGTTTGCTGTGTCGTTGGTAGCTGTCGAAGATCTCCCGCCCATAACCGCTCCATGTTCAAAGGAGAAGTGCTAAACTGCGACGTGGGCGACGGTGAAGGTATTAGACTTCTGCTCATAGGCCTTAACCGGTCTTGGCCTAGGTTGAGTAATAATTGAGCTGCGCTTTCATCGGGACTGCTAACGGGAGGCCAGTTAGAAGTTGTAGGGTGAAGTTGCGGATCTACGGGTGAATTCGACAGACTAGGTTGCGACCAAATCATCGTTCTTACCCCACCAGCTTCTCCCATAATCACTGTAGGCGTTTGCCTCACTGGTATGCTCCCTACGGTTCTACTTAATGGACTACAAGGTGGTTTAATATCAGGTGTACTAGTAAAAGTACCTCCTATTAACTCAGGCTTCACTCCGTTAATTCTAGAATGCTTCAACCAAAGCTGCGGACTTTGACCTAAGTTCGCCGCTTGCTGGTTTATGATAACTCCTCTCGGGGGATTAGAAGTGGGTGACATTGGAGATATGGGCATGAGGATAGGTATCGAAGACGTGGGTTCTTGCTTGTATACTGACGTGGGTTCTTGCTTGTATACTGCTGGCTTTGGACTAGAGGAGGATTGTAGGAGAAGAGGAGTGTGTCTGATGACAGGACTGGCTCGAGGACTAATGTTGGCTGGTCGACCCGGCGAACTGTGAGGTCGGGGGGGTTGCGATGGGCTGAAGGGCGGGGCGGGTCGAATTGGGGGACTATGAGATCTTATCACTGGAAGAGACCTGAAAGCGAAAAGTTAAAAAAAAAAACAAAAAAATGTTTATTAACCATGAATTTAGAAACCGACAAACTTCTTTACCTGATAACGCTGGCCGTTCCCCCTCCTCCTCCTCCACCACCACCTCCGTCGAAGACGCCGGACTCCTCCAGCCTGTTGGGCATCTTATCCTGCGTGGGCTCGGGTGGGTGCATGTGGATGGGCGTGGAATCAGGGCTGGGTGGATTCAGCTGGGCGTCGGTCATCTTGGGCGACGACGGGCTCAGGAGATCGGGCGATGATGTGCTTGTATCGGCGACAGATTCGCCTAGAAGCGGATAGAGACATTGCCTAGAAGCAAAGTTTGCTGATGGCTGCCTACTCTAGGTTGTACAAAAGCTCGTGATGCGAATGGATGATTGAATGATGAGTGTATCATGATGGTGATTATGATGATGTGTTGAGAATGTGAAATTGTGACTATATTTAATTTTATTTATTTGTTAGTTTATTTAGGTGAAAATACATTCCTTTAATCTGAATGTATAAGATAAAAAGATTGTTTATAAGATAAAAAGATTGTTGTGCTCTTAAATATATTTAAATATCAATAAATATATTTTCAGAATTTAATGGCTACTAAAAAAGGATTAAAAAGGACTAAAAAAGAGGACGCTATCAGGAATTTTGAGAAACTACGGATGTAAAATAGAGATGAAATAAGTTAGGTTAGGTTATGTTTAATTCTACACAGCGTTTTCTTTGAGAAACGAAAATACTTTTACGATGATTGAGGTTACCAAGATGATTTTAAATAATATGGTATATCAATGGGACTTACATTTTTTAATAGATATTTTATCGATTTTGTTTCTGTTTTTCATAACTACCGAATCACTGTATATTTTTTGTATATTTTACTTGATAAACAAAATATCTAGTATGGAAATAAATACACACTTGAAATAGAAACAAATCAGTACATTTACTAGATCGGTACAGATTAGTACTAAATACCCAAAAAAATATACTGGGTGGTTTGTTATAACTCTAGAAAAAATAATTGATTGAGTATTAATTTTTGTGAATATGAAATAAATTTACATATTATATCAATAATATAATTAACTTAAAATGAAATAAAATATCAAGGAATTTAAATAAACACCATATTAGAAAGCCTAAACATTACTTTTAATAGACGTTTGGGTAGAATTTCATTATTTTAATAACACTCTCTATTGAATTAACGAACATATCATATATTGAGTTTTGATTTTGGTCTAAAAGATAGTGAATATTTTCAAAACCTACGCTAGACACTTTGTCAAGGACTAATTATTTCCGCTTTGTTGAATAGGATATTAATTTATATTTTCAATTATCACACCAAATTAAACACTTTCTTTTAATTATATACTGTCATAACGAAACATAATATTAGAAATACATTAATTTGAAAAATTGGCTAGTCATTAAATTTACATAAACAAAAAAGAATTAAAAAATTATCACTATTGCCTTGGATATTAAGAATTTAAAACAGTGAATTTTTTCAAGTGATTTAAGTTAAGTCACATCAAAATAGTAATTTGTAAAACAAGAATGATGGTCATGTCGCCCAAAGACGAAATTGAGAAAAACATGACAATTGCTCAATATAAAGAGAAAAAGTAGAAAAAAGAAACCCTCATTATCGTAGCAACATCTGTTAGTTTCTTATGTTCCAATAGTTGTAGCCACCATGTATACATTCATAAAAGCTACTAAATAGCAGGAAAACTAAAATAGTTTTTTCAAGGCAATGTCATAAAAAAATGAATAACTATGTTGTTAATTGTTCCATTGCCCTTCCTGTATATTATAAATTGTTTTCAAATATTTTATCATAATTTGCTGTCCTAGAAAATTAAGAGATAATTTAAAAAAAAAATAATAGATATTTTGTAGGATATATTTAATTTAACTAAATAAAACTAATCAGTCTTATCACTATCAGACAACATGTAATGAAATAAGTAAGGTCGTACCTTTTACAATAGACTTAGATAAGTACACAGATTGAGTACTTCTGAGTAATTGAAAATTTAGTATTTAATATGTATATACAAGGTCGGACAATAGTATTAAAATTGAATTATAAAAACTAATAGTCAAGTATCGGGAACAAAATAGGACAAACCAAAAATGTCTGCGACTATTTACAAAAGAAACTAAAGAGGCCAAGCTCCCAAACCAAAAATATGTAGAAAAGGCCAACTTTACGGCCTTAGTTACCAAATAACTGTTATTGCTCACGATACGAAAAAAAGGAAACATCTAATGCAATTTTTTATGCACCTGATTCCAGATTTCCGTGGATATTATACAGTGTGCTATATAAAATCAAGGAAAAGTACGTACTATATATTATATTTTCTTGGAAAGAAGTTCACGAAAATATTATTTCATATATCAATAAAATCATGCTGATGCTAATAAAATGCTAAAATTTTAATTTAATAATTTTAATGGTTAGGAATGTCTTATACATCATGATTCCGTCATTTGACTTTAGATGACATGTTTCCGTTCTGTATAGTTGGCGTTATTCAAAATGACCTTAGGATTCTGACCTTAATGGTACCGGGATTGATTTTAAAATTTAATTTGGTTTGTCATTAGATTTTGGAGAATTTTCAGAGGGTTTAAAATTGTCAAAGGATTTAGATTATCCAGTAGAAAAGAAAAATAGGTAGTATTGTAAGATGTTCAAAGATTTTGAATAGAAGTTAAAAGTAGAATAAAGTTATAACAAAAAATTAGGGCAGAAGGCAGGAGGATCGGAAGAAAGAAGAAAGAAGGGAAGTGGAAGATTTTTTAATTTTATTTAAATTCAAACATTTTTATATTAATTTTTTTTAATAACCTGTATATTAAGTTGGTTCAAACGTTGGATTTAGATTAGGGGCTTTACTAATTTGCGCATTTCTTTTTACAGTACGTTAGCCTTATAGTGAAAATAATTCGTTTTTAAAAACCATTCTGTAATACGGTGTGATGTTTAAAAATTAGCGGTTTTAAATTGCCTGAGACTCTAATTTTATCTATACAGATAATTAATTATTAGTTGCAAAGAAGTTGTAATTTGTCATATAAGTAATGCAAATGTTATTGTGACAGGATCGTCAATTTTTAATTTTAATTCATTTAATAATTTTGGTGAAAATAGATAGTCATAGAAGATTTCCTACAAAAATTATTTTGACCGGTTTCTTAATTTTTACATTTTTTAAGCTCTTTGTTAATTCCTTTAATAATTTTCATTAAACTTGTCAATAATAATAATAATAATAATAATAATAATAATAATAATAATAATAATAATAATAATAATAATAATAATAATAATAATAATAATGTTTATTCATCTTAAAAACATACAAATATAATATAATATAACAATATGAAGTACAAAGAATGAACAAACATAAATAATCACAAAAGTAGTGTTAGACCACTTGTATGTGATATAATATTTAAATAGAAATAAAAAAAACAAACATGAAAATATATGTAAATTTTTTTTTTTAAATATATGTTCCATTATCGGAATAAATTTGTATCTAAATAAATAAATTGTTTTGATTATTTTTTTAAAATTTTTGTTTTTTTACCGTTTATCTATTGGGTGTATTGTACATTCCACAAGGAAAACCTGTCTGTGGTCCGTTAGTATAAAACCAATAAACATGATAAAATTAATATTTTAATCTGAAATAATTTACTTTTTTTTCCACGAAAATGAAATATTTTTTTTTTAGGTGAGTATATAATCTTTTTTTTTTTTTTTTTTTTTTTTTTTATTTTTTTGACAAAGTAGATAATATAAGTTTTTTTTTTAAATAAAGTAATTTTCTATCATTGCATGTATAGTTAGTCGAGAATGTTGTAATATCCATTGTTTTATCTTTTTTTTATAAAGTGTTTTAGAATTAATAATTTGTATTTCTGCAGGAAGCCTATTGTATAATTTTGGACCCATGTACCAAAAACTTCTCTGCGTATTTGATTTTTTTACTTTGGGTAAAATAAAAGTATGTAGCCTTGAACGAGTATTATGATTGTGTTCTCTCTTGTTGTGATGCTGGCGTATGAGAAGATTTTGACAGAACAGTTGTCTAGCATCAAAGAATTTACTCTCTTCGAAGAGATGTTCTGTTGGATAAGTATACGGTTTTTTTATTAAAATCTTTATGAGCCATTTTTGAGTAATATTTAATTTATTTATGTGACAATCAAGTGCGCCGCCCCAAGCAATAATTGAATAAGTAATATGAGTTTCAGCAAGAGCGTAATATAATGTTCTTAGCTCATTCCATTTTAATATTTGAGAGAAAAATTTAAATGTATGCAATACCATCTTCAATTTTTTAGTCACAAAGTTGATATGAATATCCCATTTTAAGTGATTGTCAATATAGACTCCTAAGTATTTAATATTAGAAACTGCTTTAATTTCTATTCGAACATTGTTGACTTCAATTTCGATTTTGTTGTAGTTGGGTAAAGCATTGGAATATGAAGAAAATGGAACAAAGAATGTCTTAGTGAAATTTACCGTAAGTAAGTTTTGTTGAAACCAATGAAATATATGAGGTAAGTCACTTTCAACTAATAGTTTTAAAGATACCCAGTCAGTGCTTTCCTAAATAATGGCGGTATCGTCAGCAAAACTGATAATGGTACCATTAGAATTAACAGAAAATAAGTTATTAAGGTATATATTGAATAAAATTGGCCCTAGTACGGTCCCTTGCGGAACGCCATACATCACATTCTTTGTTTCACTAACTATATCTTCAATTTTCACGGCTTGCTTCCTATCTGTTAAATATGAGAATAATAAATCATAGCTTCTCCCTCTAAAACCTATATTTTCCAGGTTTTCAATCAGTTTTGAGTGGCTTACTGTATCAAACGCCTTAGCGAGGTCTACAAAGATGCAGAGCGATGCTTTTTTTTGATCAATATTTTCATAGATATTCTTTGTTAGTTTAGCTATAGTATGTTGCGTAGACCTCCCCTCCCTAAAACCAAATTGATCATCAGAAATGAAGGGATATGGGTCAATTATAGAAGATTTCTTACAAATGTCATTTTGATATGTTTCTCAATTTTTTACCATTGTTGAACTCTTTGTTAATTCAAAAAGAAATATAATTCCAACTCTTTGTTAATTTTTTTAATAAATTTCGTAAAAACTGTCAATTATAGAAGATTTTTTGCCAAAGTTATTTTGACGTATTTCTCAATTTTAATCTTTTTGAGCATTTTCCATGCCTTTGGTTAATTTTTCCAATCATTTTTGTAAAAACCTTAAATTA